TAATTATTTTTTTATTTTTATATTATTTAATGTTGTTTATATTTTTTATATTAAATATTAAAAAATTAAAAAATATTATAATACAATAATATTTACTAAATAATATTTCAATATATTTTGCATAATTATTTATTTTATATGTATTAATTACAACATTATTAATTAGATACAAATGTTAATTATAATATTATTAATTAAAATGTTTGATATTTATATTGATAAACATAAGCAATGCATTTTTCTACATTATTTTTAACTAATTGTTTATTATATACTATTTTATAAATTATAACTAGATTAAAATTTAATTCAATTCTTATCAACATTTTAATGTACAAATTAATAAACTACAAATTAATTAATTATTGATTTCAGATAAAGATGATGATTTATTAGTCTCAATAATTTCTTTTTTTTCTTTTTCTAATATATATTTAACAATTTTCTGGAATTTGGGTTGATTCCAAAAATGTTTTGTACTCTCATATTCATCAAGTAAAGTTTGTTTTTTAGGTTTAAGTTCAAGTTCAGTAATAAGTTTGTGTTTCTTCTCAATAAAATCACTGCAATAAATATATATATTATAAATATATTTTTTATATGTTCAATATTCAATATTAAATATATTATTACAAATATATATTATTTAAAAATTATAATATCTTCTGGATCATTTATTGATTTAATATCATTTCAGGAAATATATAAGGTTAAATTGTAATTGTTCTATAAATTACAAATATTACAATTGAATATATATATTATTTCATATAATTTAATTTTTACGTAATATTTTAAATTTAAAAAAAATTTAATATATAAATTTAAATATTTAATATGCAAAATCTATATACTTACCTTAACAATAAAAGACCTGCAAGAGGAACAAGAATTTTCGTTAAACTTGTAATTATAAATGCTCTACCAGCCGGAGTTCCAGCAAGAGTTCGAAATTGTTTTTTTTTTAAAACTATCGGTTCAAACATTATTCAAATATTATTATATTAAAGTGATAACGTATAAAATATTTTTTTGTAACTATGTTCTTGTAATAATTTTATATTGTACAGTGTTGCCAATAATAAAATATATGTAATTTGAAATATGTGTATACATGAAAAAATAATTTAAATAAAAAAAAATATTTATTTAGTTATTATAGATAAATTATATTAATCTTTACGTTAAAATATTTTAATTCTTTTTAATTTTTGAAACTATTTGTTACTTAAAGAAATTTAATGATAATATAAATCATTACTTTATAATAATATCTAATAACATAATATATATATATTTTTCACCATATTTATATTTATTTTACTAATAATATTTTCTGATTAATAATACATATTTATGGCGAGTTTATATCGAAATAATTTAGAAAATTTTAAAATTTATTTATCAAAATCAAATTCGAAATAAAATGTTTTAATAATGATGTTTTAATAATTTATCTCTTGCTACGCTATTTAAACGGAATATTATTGAGTAATAATATTATTTCTCAATACACATATATATAATATATATGTGTATTTTTTATATATATTGATAATTATTACATAATGTACATAGAAAATTAATGCAATTTGATATTATATATCTATATGAAATAAAAATTCAAATATTATTCAATGAAACTGCATTTAAATATAACAAAAAAAAATCACCTTATATATTACATATACATAACGTATTGTATAAACATATTTTTAAATATATAAATTATACTTTCTATTGTTTTTTTTACAAAATAAATCTTCGAATAGTCGAATTTCTTTGGTTTAATAATTTATTATTAAATTGACATAAATAAGCAATTATTTTATAAGAATAGTATTTCTTTTAATGAATTAAGTGATTGAAAGCAAATAATTAAATTATATGACAATAATTAAATTATCGGTTGATCAGTTATTAATTGTTGATCAAATATTAGTACCACAATTTGTCATCGTTTATTAGTTTTATCTCTTGACTATATTTAGATTTTATCAATATTACTATTATTAATTGGGATAATCATTAATATTGATTATCGAGTTTACAGTTTAAAAAGAATTCTTAAGCAGTAATTGGAATCAATTTGTATCATTATGTAAAAAGTACTTACCGATGTTAATTTTTGTTGATTGAATTTTTATGAAAATGTAATTTAAATTCTTTTAATATTTAATACTATTTAAATATTTTATTTATATTTATATTAATGATAAACATCATGAACAATTTAAAAAAAAATAACTTTTTATTTTATATTTCAATTTTGTGAATCAAGATTGGTTCTTCTAGGATTCGATCATATGGCTTTGTTTATATCCGGTAACTTAATCGAATAGAATATAAATATTAATTGTAGAAAATTGTTATTTAATTAAAATGTTTTTTAATATATATAATGAAAACATGAAAATAAAAAAATTTAAAAATAATTAATAATTATATAAGAATCAAGAAAATTTTATAAAATATAAAAATATTATTCAATTTTATTTTTTATCCTTTGATTAATTTTTAAATATGGTATGTATCATATTTTTATCATTTATTTTAATAATTTTTTATATTTTTGAAAATCTTATAAAAATTATTAATTATATATAAGGCTTCTACTTCTAAGAGACAAACTGCAATTGGAACTAGAAAAAAAGGTGTACCGAAATTGGAATTGACTGCTGAACAAAAAAATGATATAAAAGAAGCATTTGATTTATTTGATCCAGATGGCACTGGAAGGATAGCTACCAAAGAACTTAAAGTGGCCATTAGAGCTCTTGGGATTGAACCAAAGAAAGAAGAAATAAAAAGACTTATAGCTGATGTTGATCCAGATGGTCTTGGTACATTATCATTTGAAGAATTTCTAAACTTAATGTCTACAAAAATGTTAGAAAAAGATACAAAAGAAGAAGTTTTAAAAGCATTTCGCCTTTTTGATGATGATAACACAGGAAAAATATCTTTCAAAAATTTAAAACGAGTTGCACGAGAATTAGGAGAAAATCTTACAGATGAAGAATTGCAAGAAATGATTGATGAAGCAGATAAAGATGGTGATGGAGAAGTTTCTCAAGAAGAATTTTTACGTATTATGAAGAAAACTAATTTATATTAATATTTTATAATTTATTCTTAAATTATTTAAAAAATATTATTTCTATACATAAGTTGCTTATGATTTATATAAGAATACTATTATTACTATTAAATTATTATTTGTATTATTACATTATAAGTTTACATTAAATTTATATATATTCTACAATTTATTTATTTTAAATAATAACATATAATATCAGATACAAGATAATTAAAAAATTAATTTTTATATAATGCAATAATGTATATAATAAAATATATATATTATATAATATATAATATATATATACATATACATAATATATACAATAATTATAAATAATTGATTTGTACCAAAAATGTGGAAATATTGAAAAAAATGTTTAATATTTTGTTAATAAACATAACAATAAAATAAATAATATAATAAAATATTTTATTACATTTCAAAATTTTTTACAAGTTTCCATTTAAAACTTCTTGTTTCATTGTTGATATAGCAGAATCAATTAATGATCTTACCAATTCTGCTCTTTTTCTAGATTTAATTAAACTTTTTAAAAATATATCTTGTGAAATTGGAATTCCACCTAAATAAAGAATATAAATTACATTATTTTAATTAAACATAATAAAATGTTAAATTTCATTTAACTCTATTTTATAAAATCAAAAACTATACACATAGAGAATTAAATATGTAATATTTTATGGTTTAATTTGATTACCATAATATGATTTCATTTAATCTATCTAATCAAATGAAAAATCAAAATAATTTACTTATATTTTTGTTATTTCCAAATATAAAGTAATTTAAAAAAAACTGAAAACGAAAATATTAAACATTAATAAACTCAAATTAACTTAAATTTAACTTAATTTAACTTAAATTTTAATTCAAAATATAATAAATAATAAAATAATAAAATATAAAATAATAAAATATAAAAAATTTAATTCAAAATTTTAAATAATATATAATTTTTGATTCTATAGATTTTTGAAATTAAATTGTTATTTTTTAATTTTATTTATCAAATACTATCATAAAATATAAAAATTATTAAA